GCGTGCACTGCAGGCAGGCCTGGGTGAGGTATTGGGATGGGTATCATCAGATATGTTCCTAGGATTAATCTACCCTGTCAGGGTCTATATATGACATTAAGTGTGTCTTAGGGCCTGGACCTTCATTTTATAAACATAAATAAGCATCTTTGTGTTACATAAACTATATCCACATCAGTCAAGCAAAGGAGTATAATCCTAGTACCTTAATTTTAAAAAAATAGATAAAAATAAGAAATGTGGTTGTGAACAAATAAATTCGACAACTCCCTCCCCCAAGTTATCATATTATTTTTATTCTGGCCATTTACATTCCATGGCATCACAGCTACTCTCATTTTACCACTGGAAGGCATGGGAAAGACCAGAAATATTTAATAAACTAGTTAAAAAAATTTTTTTAAAGTTATTTGCTAGCTCTTTAGGAAATGAAGACTCTAGATAATTAATTAAATACATTTATTTTTAAATTAATTGACCTATTTTACCCCTATATATTTTATCACATATATATCTAAGCAACTAGATAAATATATTAGGGAAGAAAAACTTTCCCCCTGGAGATCAAGAACAAAAAAAGCCAATGTAAAGTCAATATTTTAAGGGACTTAAGGCTGGATCTTTCAAATCTTGTCGTTTTGCGTAAAACAGTAAAATCTAAAGCCCATTTCAAAGCTGTACTAAATCCCCAGCCTGAAAGTAATTGCTGTTCCTTGTCCTGTGTGTATATATCATCAGTACAAGTAAGAAAGAATCCCAGCCAGGCCTGGACCACCGCCAAGCAATTGATTACTAGCCATTAAAAGGGAAATGTTTACTTATTCATGGCAACTAGTTTTCAGAAGGAAAGGCAAAGAGGTCTGATTTTAAATGCTGCCTTTTCTTCTCATCCTAAGGCCAATCAAGATCATCCACTTCTTCTTGGAAGTGTCCAAAGCCCCATTTTAATTTTCCTTTCACTATTTTAACCAGATACTGATAAAGAGGGAAGAGCAGTTGCTACGAGGCAAAGAAAAATGTCCTAGCAGTTGAGGGCCCTCCATCTATCAAGGGGAATTTGCAGTGTTACCTCTCTTCGATACTGTAAAGATTTGCAGGATTTTTTGAAACACATAACCAAAAAGGAAGGATTTAAAAACGGAATTCAAGATATAGAGGCAATCTTTTTTTTTTTTTTTTAATCAAGATACTTTAGTTTTATTATGGAATTTTCTAGTCTTAGTTCTTAAGCTTGCAGCAGTGATGATAAACTCTGGGTAATATTTTTGAAAGGATGATTAATGCAGACTGTTTAAGTATATTCACTATATATCACAGACGCCTAAAGATTAAAAACTCTTATTGGGATTGGGATGTACCACTTCCAATTCGAAGAAAACAAATACCTATCTAATTAAATAATAATATTCACCAGTTATGCTGAATTGTAAAATAAGTTCAAGTATAGGGAGCACACACAAAAAATTGAAAATCTGCAAAGACTATGCACTTAGATGTTTATTTGTGAATCTAAACATCTCTCATAATTGGAGGATATATATATACAACAAATATCTATTGACCCAGTAAGAAAACAGTTTTCTCCTCCCACATCTTCAAGTTTATCTGATGTGAAGAGACAATAAAGAAAGCACTTTAAAAAAATAATAATTTCAGCTCTCTCGCCTCCTTTCCCTCACTTCTTCAGAACAACTTGTTGTGGTTGAGTTGATTCCCACTCCTAGAAACCCTACAGGACAGAGTAGAACTGCCCCATAGTGTTTCCAATGAGTGGCTGGTGGGTTCGAACTGCCAACCTTTCGGTTAGCAGCCTGAGCTCTTAACCACTGAGCCACCAGAGCTCAGTTTAAGTGGAACAACCTCCTGGAGTCCCCAGGCTCTAGCTTGCAGGGATAATTCAGATAAGACCCTAGAGCAGAGTGGAGAGGAAGGTTGGATCTATTGCAGAGGCACTTAAGGAGGAGGTAAACGAGAGGTAAGCTCAGGATGGGGCAGAGAAGTTACAGGATTTTCTAGAGCCAGGAGGAAAAGGGTTTCCCTAGAATATCCAAAAAGAGGACTGGGTGGCAGCAACCCTGTTCCCAAGCCAGGGAATGTGAGGCTAGGAGTAATATTTGGAGCTAATCCCAGAATGAGGTCCTCCCCAGAGCACTACTGCTAGATGGGGGATGTATCTCTGCTTTGGGAGCCAAACACTAAGAGTAAAAGCAAATATTTGATGCTGAAGAGCTCTTAAGAACTGAAGAGCGCCATTTACTTATTTCTACACGTTAGTGTGGGCTTAGGATGTTAAATAGATTAAAAGGCTAAGAGAGGTCAGTCACCGGGGGAAGGACTCTTCTTTCGCTCCTCCTGACTTGGTTCTCTTCCCAAAATTGTTATCCGCCCCACCCCACTACTGTGGAGGGTCCTTGGGAAATTTGAAAGATGACACATCTTCTCTGAGAACATCTTGGAGAATGCGGAGTGAGTCTTGTGGATGAGGGTACAAGAACTCAAGGGAGGACAGAGTCCAAAGTCTACTGGTAAACGTTTCAATAAAGATGGTTTTAGAAAAAAATCAGAAGATATGGAATCAAAAAACTGGTAGAGTCCTTAGAAATCACCAAATGTATTCTCTTTCGTCACAGATGAGAAAAAAATAGAGGTTCAGAGTAATGAGGTCATTACAGCGAGTTAGGAGCAGAGCTAGGACGCGAACCTACATCCCTGACTCCCAGGCCAGGGCTCCTTCTACCTGACGCTCGGCCCGAATTTTGGCCTGTCCCAACGCTTCCTAGAACTGTCTTTGTCAGGGTTCTGTCTCCGCCTCTCCCCTGGCAGAGGTTGCCGGGCATCGTCCTTTGGCCGAGGAGAAGTCCACTAGGCCCTGGGCCAGGCTGCGACTTGCCTACCGTCTAGAACGCCGGAGCTTGGGTGCTGCGGCGGGTTGGGCGCCGGGTTTCCCACCTCCGCCGCCGCCACCGCCCTCACCCCACCCTAGTTCCCTCCCCGGCCCTGTCTGCAGGGAAGACAGCCAAGTCATTTCAATTTAATCTTATTTAAAAAGACATAACTAATAAATCTGTATTGCCAGGGCCGCGGAGAGACGGCCAGCAGAGTCGATCGTGCTCCCAATCCCATTGAACCCCATTGAAAACCATGACAACACGGGACAAGCTCCGATTTATCCCGGCGCACTAAAGCGCATTGTGAGCTCGCGTCAATCACGCATTATTCCCGGACTGAACAAATGCAAAATCTTGACTGGAACAAATGCTTCCAACAGGTCCGGGGCGTCGAGCTCCATTTCCCCTTTGTCCGCGGCCTAGCAGTTGGCCTGTATTGGCGTAGCCTCCGCCCGACCACCCAGCGCGCCGCGGGCTGGACCGCGCAGCCCCGGACGCCCCAGGCATGCTTGACAGGGAGGTTGTCCCGCAGGGTGCGCGGGGCCCGGCGGGGGCCGCGGCCCTTGCGCCCGAGTCAGACCCATCTTTAGCCCAAGTCCCAGCCAAGCCAGGACCTCGGTTGGGGCCACCCAAACGCCGCTGCCTTCACTGAAATTTAGAGCCTCAATACTCAAACAACTGGGAGAGGAGAGGCCTCGGAGCGCGCGCTCGGTGCGCCCTAGACTGAAATGCAGCACACTGTACACTGATCATTTTCTTGGGTGGGGTTGTGGGGGACTAGAAGGTCCTGGAAAAACCCCGAGCCGGCCATCTCAGGAGTCAGCAGCCAGCTTTCCCGCCCCGCGAGTCCTATCCTAATTCTCCCAATCGGTCCCATCCCGGACCAGCCGGGCAGCCGCACCGGGTCGACTGGCGCTGGGAGAAGGGAGCGCAGGCCCGAGGTCTGCTCCCGGGAGGAGACCGCTGTCCGGGCCCTGGCCTGAAATTAAGGCCTTCCAGCCGAGGCGCACAGGTGGCGCCAGAGCGGCTGGCGGTGCCAAGGCAGTAGTCAAACCTTAGAAGGCGGCCCTGTGGAACGCTGCCGCCCGCGGGCCGTAAAGCGAACCTGGGCCCAGCTCCGCGAAGTGCGGCCATTGGGCTCAGAGCCCGCAACAGGCAGTGGCCGGGGGTGGGATGGGGCAACGAGCTGGCACTTCTGACCTGAGCAGTTTGGCCAGATTCCCCCCCCCCCCATTTTGCTGGCCTGGGAAGAGAGACATGGAGCTAGGGCTCCCCGGATGCTATCAGCCCTTCCCCCAAACCCCTGAGGCTATTTGGGACGTTTGAGGTGTAGGGAGGCTCCCAGCAGCCTTTGAAACTCCCGAGAAGTAGTAGAGGTGCCGGCGGGGCCAGGCTGCTCCTTTGCGCCTGCCTGGAACTTCTTGCTCCTGAATCCTTAAGGGGTCCAACCAAAAAGAGAAAGGGAGCGCGCTAGAGTTTAACGCTGCGTTGTAAATCACTTTCCGGATAACTGCAGGAAACGAACGCTCCAGCAAATAAGTTCGAGGAATAAAGCAAACAGGGAATAAATTCCGGGTGCTCATAAACCCTCCCATGCTGCCCCATCCTCCTCGGCTCTCCCGCCAGGCCAGGCCCCGTGTCAACCCTGGGGAGGAGGAGGAGGAAGCTGGGGGCTGGGACGAGCGGGTGATGGTCACCGCTCGCCACCCAAGATGTTATTCAATGGTAACAATCCCCATTATCTGTCCCCACTTTGGGCTAATCAGACAGAATCGCTAATGCCGAGGGCTGCTTCCTGCCGCCTCTGGGAGGTAACTGGGCGCCTAGAGGCGGGGGAATGGGCGGGGCGGCGGGCGGAGGTGGCACCTTCCGGGATTGAGGGGGCTCTGGCCCAGCGCTCATTTAGGTAGTTAACACCCCGAGACCCGGACCTCTGTTTTCAAAGCGGCCCGGGTGGGGAAAGCTGCTTATATAAACAGGGATTCGGCTGTAAACGCGCTAATATCCTGGAGGCAAGCGCATGGCGCGCTCCTCCCACGCCCACCCGTAGGAGCGGCGTCCCCAGCCGCCCCTTGTTTCCTAGCTTGCCCTGCCCCCGCCTACTTGTAGGCCATGGCCACCACTGGACGTCTCAGCTTCACCGTGCGCAGCCTCCTGAATTTACCCGAGCAGGACTCGCAGCACCTGCGGAGGCGGGAGACGGAGCCGCGCTCGCCCTTGCGCCTTGGCCCCTGCGCTGTCTGGCTGGAGCCAGAGCGCGGCCACTACCCCTGTGAGTGAGCGGAGGGCGGCGGCGGGGGTGGAGAGGAAACTGTGAACCAAGAACCTGCCCCGTGCGTCGAGATTTCCTCACTTCGGAGCAGAGTCACTTCGGAGGCTCTGTCCGGCTCAAGCCCTTATCCCGTGCGTCCCGGTCGACACAGCCTGAGAGCAGATCCCTGCGCCCCGCACTAGCGCCTAGTATTTTGGGTGTCTGCTTCTGGGAACTCCTAGGCATCAGAATATTTAAAATACGGCCCCATTCTCATGGCCTCGGTCTGGAATGGCAGCATTGACGAGCCCAGTCTCACTGGATTCAGGAGTTTGCAAACCGAGACAAACTGTAGTGCAGTCGACCTGAAAGTGGCCCGTGTTGGTGACCCAGTTTGCGTAAATTCGTCTGCCAGCGTAGCAACTAGTGCGGATGTATTAAGAGGGCCCCGGGGCAGGTTTTTCTCTGGGCCGCGATCTCAGACCCGGTGATGATTGCTGTGATAGGAATGAGGTCACTGGGTTCAGAGAGGTGGGCATCCAGATGTGGGCACAGTGAAAGAGGGAAATGGCCTCGCCCCCGCAGCGGCGTGCAAGTGGGGGCACCCTCCGGCTGGTGGCTCTCGCGCCAGCGCGAGAGGTGTAGCAGGCGTGTTGAGGGGCAGCTTGCGCCTGAACAGGCCTTGTCTTCTTTGCTGTCTTCCTAGCCTCAGACGAGAGCATCTCGGAGATCGGCCTCCCCGATTCGTCGCAGCGGCCGTCCCCGCGACCCGCGTCGCCAGGCTCAGACGCTGAGAAGAGGAAGAAGCGGCGGGTGCTGTTCTCCAAGGCGCAGACGCTGGAGCTGGAGCGGCGCTTCCAACAGCAGCGCTACCTGTCCGCGCCTGAGCGCGAGCAGCTGGCTCGCCTGCTGCGCCTCACGCCCACTCAGGTCAAGATCTGGTTCCAGAACCACCGCTACAAGCTGAAGCGTGCGCGTACTTCAGGAGCCGCGGGGTCGCCGGACCTCGCCGCGGCCACTGAGCTGCGCGCGGCGCCTGGCCTGCTGCGCCGCGTGGTGGTGCCGGTGCTGGTACGCGATGGGCAGCCGTGCGGCGGCGGGGAGGCTGGCACGGCCGCAGCCCAGGACAAGTGCGGCACCTCCCGGACCGCGGCCGCCTGCCCTCTTCCGGGTTACCCCGCCTTCGGTCCCCGCTCGGCGCTCAGCCTTTTCCCCGCCTACCAACACTTAGCGCCTTCGGCCTTAGTCTCCTGGAACTTGTGAGGCCGCCGCGAGGCGCGGGCACCTGGAGATACGCTGACCTTGGAGAGCTCTGCAGCCCGAGCACGGCTGGGGCTGGAGACCCGGAGCGTCCCGAGCCGCCTCCCTGCGGGCCCCACCTCCTCCGGCGCCGGCCCGCTCTCTCCAGCCACCGAGGAGGCGCAGGCGGGAAATTTTGGCCAAGTCCTTCCTCTCCCTTTTCCTCGACCACCAACCCCAGAGCTAGGTTTTACTGCTTGAACCTAATTTGTATATTTTAAAATAGTGATTTGTATGGGAAGCAACGTATTTTAAAAGAAATAGAATATTTTTCCTCTTTGTGGTGCGACAATAAAATCTATGGGGTTGGGTCCCCTGCGAGCCTGCCGGGAACGTGAGGTGGGAGTCGGGACCCCGGGACCAGAGTTCTGGGCGCCCAGCTGCTCCTGACTGGCTAAGTTAGGGTCCACCGTGAGTTGGGTCCGAGGGCAGATTGCAGTCCCAACATGGCTTTAGGAAGATGGGAGGGTGGTGGCAAAAAGAAGGGTGGCGGGAGAAAGCAGAGGCAACCCTAGGGTCCCGGTCAGCTGGAGGAAATTCTGGTTCTAGAGTGACGCCGAGCGTCTCTGAGCTCCAGGAGTTGTTGACGTTTCAAACACCAAAAGTCAACCCCGTCGGCTAAGACCGGGAGTAATGCGCTCTTCCAGAAGGATAGTTTTGAGATGTACCCTGAGGGTTGGGTGCTCAGTGCACCACACCCAGAACAGCCCAGGCCTGGCCACAAGCCCTCAATTTGCAGGGTGCCGGAGCCAAGAACTTGGGATCCGGAGAGCACACGGAGAACTGGTAACCCCCAGTTAAACAAGTGCCTCGCTTGGCAGCTGTGATTTCCTGTCTCTACCCAGAGCAGTACCAAGCTGGGGAAGGGCAGGGGGCAGGGTGGTAAAGAAATCAAAGGGTGGCAGGGAACAACTGGGGCAGGGTAGTGCCTCAGGGCGGCACCGGGAAACTCGGCTGCCGGCTGAGGGAGGACGGCCTCGGGGCAGGCCTGTGGGAGCGCTGGTGGCAGGACTTTGGGATGGGATCGTTGGTCGGCCTCATTTTACCCGCGCCCCAAATGCTCATCAGGCTCGGGGATCCAATGCTTCACTCCTCGAGTTTGGAACGGGTCCTCTCCTCGGTATCCAGAGCCACAAGGCTTCCTACGCAAGCGGTGCCTCTCTCAGAGAAGAGGTGGCTACCTCATTCCCCTGCACACACTGCAGGGAGATGCGCTCGGGGAGAGCAGTTCCGGGCCATCAGGTCCTGGGAATGGAGCGAGGGCCCGATGAGATGCATGAGGAGTAGCCGTTGGGCCTGTATTGGGCCCTAGCTTTCTTGTCCAAGGAGGAGAGGAGAAGGAAGGGTGGCGACTAAGTGTTAACACCTGGAACGGGGGTGGGGTGGAGGGGGAGAGAAGAGGGAAGAGGGGGAAGGGAGTGAAGTGTTTAGGTCTCAGCTGCCGGCCACCTTGTCTTCCATATGGATGCGGCTATCTTAGAAGAATCTCGATCCTTAAACCTCCTTTTGTCTTGGGGAGTGAAAAGGACATTGTCAGGCCTGAAAAGGACCTGGACAAAATCTGCACTGTTTCGATTCAGGATTCTGTTTAATCAGTCCCTGGTGACAATGTAGTGGGTGTTAGGCAGGACAATGGTATCTTTTTAAACCTTGTGGCCTTCAGGAAGACAAAGGGCTTGAATTTTATGGGCTTACAACTTCAATTAGAACAGTGCCAGTGTGCATGGGAGATTATCAAATTTGTATCATAAACCCCTTTTCTAATAAATGATTGCTGGGGAGAGAGCCTGGACGCTGTAAGACATATGTTGGGACCTGCCGGGGGCTTCCCAGTTAGCCCTGGCACAGCAGATGGGAAAGAAAAGGAGAAAAGGATTTCTGAAGAAAGCCAGGATTGGGACTTGCCCCTTTAGTCTGCTGGCTGGGCCCTTGGCTCTTCCATGCCATTCCTCCAGAAGTGAGGTGTTTGCTCCAAGAGCGAGGGGGCAGAGATCTGTAGCTTGTTTTCTGCTACTGGTGATGACAAAGGCCTCCTGAATATTCCTGAGGAGAAAGTGCCAAAGGTAGCACTACCTGCTCATTTGCTTGCCTTTTCTTTTCCTAGAGCTCCAGGGAAAATAGGTCTTGGGGTGTGTAAAGGGGATATGGACTATAGAGATATCCTCTTCCCCGAAGCTCTTTGGGAAAGCGTGTCCTCAACTGAATTCATCCTGGCCCTAAATGGAGAGCCAGAGATCTAATCAATAAGAAAGACTATTCTCCTGGTTCTCAGTGAGTGGTCAGAGCCACAGCAGGGTGTCCACATAGTGAGCCAGTGCGTGTCCTGGGCAGGAGGAGGGCAGCAGTTTCCTATGACATCAGCGTCAGGAACCGTACTGTATGAACTGTTACCAACTTCCTTTTGCTCTTTTTTCTTTGGGCTAATAAGGTCCTTCTTTAGAGAGGAAAAGTCATAGAGGGAAGTACACTCCCATCCCCACCAATCTATTTTAGAGACTCAAGCTGCCTTTTTTTTTTTTTTTTTCTGTTCGTATCTGGAAAAGATAAATGTCAATTTCCTCTGTGACCTAAAAGATGAACTCTTCCAGGCTCTGGCAATAGAAGCCATACTCAAGGCCTCTCTATCAGCAGCTGTGAGAACAGTGATGATCTTCTCCCTCTTTCCCTCTCCAAATAAGAGTATTTCAAACATGTCACCCATCACCAACATCACAAGGCAGATTCACACTCGGCAAACTTTTATTGAAACTTACTGTATTCCAGGTATTGTTCTAGGCACTTTCATATTTTATATCGCAGAAACCTTATGCAATATATATACACACATACGTGTATAATATCTCCATTTTACAAATGAGAAACTGAGACTCAAGGGGGGTGGGTAAGTGACTTACTCATAGTAGTGTGTAAACCTCTAAGGATAAATATTACCATTGTCCTCAACTTAGCCCGCAGCCAGTCACCAGGACAATTGAAATCTTGATGTGGCGATCTATATCTCCCAACTATCATAAGCTATCTCATGCGTAGTCTGCAAAGAGAGAGCATGCCAAAAGCACTCTACATAGCTCAGGATCGTTCACAGAGGCTGATCACATGATACCACAGTAGTTGCTAACATTTATTGATGGTTCCTGTGTACCAGACCATATTCTAAGTTCTTTTTTGAAAAAAAATTTTAATTAATTAAATTTTTTCTAAGTTCTTTTACCTCACAACAGCCTCACAAGATGGTACGACTATCTCCATTTTACAGGGCCATAGAGGTTATAAGTAACTTGTCCAAGATCACACAGCTAGTAAGTGACAAGAAATCTGAACTCAAGCAGTCTAGCTGCAGATCTCACATCTTTAACCACATCGTGGGAACTTATTTCCCATTCACTGTTAATGTTTTATTTCTCCCAGTCTACAGTCCTGGTTACCTTCCTCATAGATGATTCCTAAGAGGCCTGTTCTTTGGCATGTCTCCCTCTGTCCCTTCTTCAAGTCCTTTTTCCCTTCCTTTTTCTTTCTTCTTCTCTCCCTCCTTTCTCCTTCCTTCCTTCTTTCCTTCCTCCCATTCCTCTCCTTCTCTCCCTCCCTCTCATCCACCAAACCCCCAGCTTTTGGTCACAGCCTCTATGTTTCCCCAATGTTTATTTGTGTGCATTCTTGCCCAGCTGTCAGTGAAACACAGCCCTTGTCTGCAAGTCACAATATTCTTCTGTGACTATCATTCCATCATTCTTCTTCCAGAAAAACATCTGCTGCTACCGCCTTGACACCAATTGTCCACTCCGGGCTCTGTAGAGTTGTTGCTGACTCTGATAAGCTTCTCTAAGCGTTTTCCAACCCACAGGCCCCGGATCTCTGTGGAGCTTTATGACTTGGTTTTTCCTAGCCTTTCCCCAGTCCTCTTTTTCCTTTCTAGGTCATCGATTTTATCTTTGTTATTAAATATCATCCTCTTCACAGTTTCTTCCTCTTCTTCCATTGTAAACATTTTCACTTCATCTCACTTAAGTGTCTTGTGGGTGGGGATTGCAGTTTTCACTTCAATTTTCTTTCCTCATTGTTCGGAGGATCTTACATCTTAGCACATCTCTTAACTGACCAATTTAGCACTTTAGTGTCTTAGATAATGTGCTACTAATGCTTTAGAAGGAAGTTATTTGAGCCCAGATTAACCTATACCTTTCCTTCTAACAATGGTGTTTAGATGTTTATAATTCCCTTGCCTTGTTGACACAATTTGCCTCTTGAACACACACACACACACGCACGCGTGTGCACACACGCACGCACACATACACATACTTCACTGCCTGTAAAACATTTTTGACTCATGAATAAAATGCCCAGGCAGGATACTCATGGTCTTGGCATGGATGAGTAGTTTTTTAACCATGTTTATCTGTTCTGGGTGTTTCAGTTAACCAGCCTAAGCTGGTTATCTGTAAACATGAACAAAAGACAGTCAAAGGAGCTTTTGGAATGCTGAGAAAGTACTGTCCCTACCCCAGGGCATGATAATTTCTATGGATGTGATTTATTATTTGGTATTCAAAATCTGCATAAGAAATTATATCCCTCCAGATTACTCATCTTTTTTCCAAGCCACGATGTGGTAGGAGATTTACTAAATTGTACTTTAATTATTTTCAGAATTCCAATTCTGCACCTGTTCGCCCTCCTCCCAGGCCCTCTCCAGTAGTAACTAAAAAGGCGTATGGCATCCTCCTTTCTCCTTTGAACTCACCACTCATATTACTCATTCTGTAAGCTTACAAAAGTGAAGTGAACAATATTCCCTTCAATGCTGATCCACAGAGTGATGGTTTAACTTTAGAGGGAAACCAGGAAGAATCAATTAGACTATTAAACAGTTACAAGTTGTCCTCCCACCCCAACTCCTTTCCACACCTACCTCCAATTTTCAAGCACATGAGAACATTTGTTCCAATCCTATCCAGTGAAGAATT